GGCCACTTTGACTGATCACTCTCATGATGCACAGATTTATATTGACCGGTTTCCTTTTCAGCATTAAAGAGATTATCTCATATTTTAAGGGGTAACAGATACCCATTCATCCATCTACCCATCCATCCATTTAGCCATCTATCCGTTTCACTCATATATCCATTTTTTCATAAGCATCAAATGAATAAATTACTATGTACCAGGGACTGTGCTGGTATAAGATATACAATCATAAATATATTAAAGCATTATGGTTTAGTAGGGGAAACTGACCCATGTGTAGATATAAAACATCAGTGTGATAAGTGCAATATTAGAAATGTATAACACAAAGAAGTATTAAAAGGAAGGAAATGATTAATTCTTGAAGGATGAGCAATAGGGAGGACTTAGTTGAGAAAGCGATGCCTGAGCTGAGTTTTAAAAGTAAATAGCAGTTGGTAAGGTAGTCAAGGAGCGTATAGCATTCCAGAAAGAAGGAATAGAGCAGAGAATTTAAAGCATATCTAAACTATTGAAAAGAGTTTAATTTTTTTTTTACTGGGAAAGATTCACTGTGAACCAACATCTATTTCCAATCTTCCTCTCTCTTATTTTTTTCCTCCCCAAAGCCCCAGTATGTAGTTGTATATTTTAGTTGTAAGTCATTCTAGTTCTTCTGTGTGAGCTGCTGCCACAGCATGGCTACTGACAGACCAGTGGTGTGGTTGCACACCCAGGGGACTGAACTCGGGCTGCCAAAGCAGAGTGCGCTGAACTTTAACCACTAGACCATCAGGGCTGGCTCTAAAATTTTTTCTGAGTTAGAGAAATTATACTCTGGGATGAATAATATTAGTATTCATTTATGCATTTATTGACATTTGGTCAACACTGTGAATAATAATTTTAGCATTATTTTTATATGAGACCACCAAATGGAGGAAAATAATTATTGTCTTACTTTGAAAATTAACATCATCTACTGCACTTCATTCTGAAAATATTGATTTGTAAAGCCATTACTAAAATAATTTCTTGTTGCCTGGTATACTGAGACACAAATTCCTCCCTAAACTCTCCTCTTAAAAGGATGTCCATTCTCTGGCTTAAGGTGAGAGTCTTTTCTTCCAAATGGCTTGTAATTAGTGCTTAGCCTCAGCTCTGCCCTCCTTTTCTGAATAAGGCCTAGAGGTTAAACTTGTTTTCTTCCTCCCATTTCAAGACCTTGGCAAAGCCTAGCTGTTCATGGTCCTCAGGAGGGACATTGCTAGGAAATGGGCTGTTCTTTTATGCCCAGGACAGGTACTGTGCTGTGCAAATGGCCACTACAGGAGATCATACCAGCTGCCTTGCTAATAACTTTGAACTCTAAGCATTCTGTAAGCCTTCTCTTGGATAAAGCAAGACTATTATGATACGGGTGACTTTTTGCCTTAGCTGTGGAACACATTACTTTCCACATGGGGTTAGCTGAAATAAAACTGAGGAAGACAATAAACTTTAGTGGGTTGATTTGTGCTATATATGTGTGACCTCTCAGCTCTATCTAATGTACGGTAATAGCAGGGTCGTAAGGACTATGCTTCAGCATGGGATACAAAATCATTCATGGATAGAAATCTCAAAAAGATCAGTTCAAATGATGCAGCCACAAAGATGTGGAATATGAAGTGGAGCTGTTGGAGGGAGCTCAGACATGTATTCAGGTAAAGAAAAGAATTCAAGTCCGTTATCATTAAATTGCACACTGGAGTTGAAATTTAAGTAGGAAGGAAGGGAAAACGTTGTTTTTCTATAGTTGGAAGTCATAAAAGGAGAGGTAGTCGCTAGAATTAGGCACATTCAAGCAAGGCAAGAAGTAATGACTGAGCAGGAAGGTACCTGAGTCATCCTAATTAGAACGGTTTAAAAATAGGACAACTAAAATACTGGTAGGATTAACCTTTATAATCATGCTCCTGAGAGGAGAGGAATTAACCCCAAGACAAATTCCAATGTAGTCTTTTCCTTGAAGCCCTACCTCAAGGTAGCAGCTTCGCTCAGTGTTTTAACACCATTTTTCTTCTTCTCTGCTTATATTTCTGCTTTTTCTATGGTATTCTTTATTCTCCCAGACTTGGACAACCCAATCTTCTGCCCCAAAATGTATCCCCTTTGCCTTTACAGATTTCTCTAATAAATCGTTTCTTGTAAAAATCATCTCTAGTTGTTCTGGAATTCTCTGTGGCTCCCAGCCATTGCAGTAAGTCCAAATTAAATTCTACATCTAAGTATCTGTCCTAATGGGTAATTTATCCAAATTGGAGAGCTGTTTGTACCTTCATGATGCCATCATGAGGAATTTAAGGATCCAGGTTACTTCACAGGAAAAAAAAATACATAGAATCCCAGCCGAAGTGGTCTTGAATCCAAAATAGAAGCCTTCTAAATTTGTGACTGATTACATCATGAATCAGGTACGAGAATGTCTATTAATTGTCACAGCCATACTCTATTTCTGGAAATGCATATAAGGCGAAGTGCTGTCAGTGGATGTAAAGAAGCAAGTGATATAATCTAGTTGTAAATTACTATTAAAAAATGATTGGTCAAGGGGCTGGCCCCGTGGCTGAGTGGTTAAGCTCACGCCCTCCGCTACAGGCGGCCCAGTGTTTCGTTGGTTCGAATCCTGGGTGCAGACATGGCACTGCTCATCAGACCACGCTGAGGCGGCATCCCACATGCCACAACTAGAAGGACCCACAACGAAGAATATACAACTATGTACCAGGGGGCTTTGGGGAGAAAAAAAGGAAAAAAATAAAATCTTAAAAAAAAAAATGATTGGTCAATTCTTTCCAACAGATTTTGAACTTCTTCCTTTTCCTCTCATTGAGCACCACCTTTTCTATTTTAGTACTCTTGAAGCTTTCTAAGAGAGAATATGCAGGGCCTAGGAGAAGAAAAACAAGCTAATTGTTGATGGCTATGGAAGAATGGCTTGTTTTCAACTGCAGCCTCAAATGAGTTTCTCAGTGTTCCAATTACTTTTTGGACTTCCCTATAGAATAGATAATACAGAATGGATTCACTTCGTGCTTGTGTTCTCTCTCTTTCAATATTACTGATATTTTATATATATTAAATTAATGGTCATGACAATTGTACAATTTATTTTTATTTGCCATAGCTTTATTCATTAGAGTCCTTGTGCAATACCTTTCCACCATTGTTTCAATAAAATTCCTTGTAACATTTTGCATTTGTTTGTGTAAATATATGCATGTGTATGCATGTATACATGCAAAACATACAATCACACAACGAGAACCATTTCTCCCTCTTATGTCTGCCCCACCATTCAACTGTCCAATGCCTTTCTAATTTCACAACTATTGACTGTCACTTTCTGGATCTGAGAAATTTTAAGTAACTTGAAAATATTTTTGAATCATATTTTTATTTCTTTTCTTTTGCTATGAGAAAAAAAAGTATAGATTTATAATTAATCCAAACTCTGTGTGTTTAAAAATATAGTACTTGTGTGGATCAATGCCTAGTTAATAATTTGATACATTTTTATGAATTCATCAAAAGTTTATGGAATGCAAACTAGGTGCCAAGCACTGTACAGGATGCTGAGGAGACAGTGATGAATTAATCAGATGAGGTTCTTGCCTTTATGAAGGTAACAATCCAGTGGAAGTGAGATTAATTATAATTTTCATGAGCACTCTAAAGGAAATAAACAGGATGCTTTGAAACTGTAACAGGCATGGCTAAACTGGCATAGGGTAAGTGATTGCAGGAAGTCACAAGACCTATGTGCATAGGAATGAGATGAGAAGAAAAGATGGGGCAAAATCATTTCAGCAGACAGAACAATCCACGAAAAGGCTTTTAAGTCTCAAGAACAGAAAGGAGTATGACTGGGGTGGGCTGAGTTGAGGATGAGCCGTGAGATGAAACTAGAGAGATAGATGGGACCTGCCTGGAGGGTTGCAGGCTGTGTTAGGGATTTAGATTTTCTTCCTAAAGGGAATAGGACATCATCAAGTAGTTTTAAATAGATGAATGAGATGTTCAAACTACCCTCTGAAAAAGATTGTTCCAGGTACGCTGTGAAGAATAGATGGGAAGGGGCCAAAAGCAGGATCATTAGATGAGAAGGCCTCTGGAGTTGAGATGCCTGGGTTTGAATCTGGGTTCTGCTATTTGTTAACTCTATAGTTTTAGGATAGTTGGCTGACCTCCCTAACTTTCAGTTTTCTAATTTATATAATCTACATGATAACAATACCTGAATTATTAGCGTTGCTGTAAGAACTAAATGAGATAATGAATATAATGCTCTTACCATAGCCACTGGTACCTAGTATTAGCTATAAAAAACTTAGCGGAAACTTTAACTAGGGAGGTGGCAGTTGGGGTGGAGAGTAGAGGGTTTAACATTCTTAGAAGACAATATCCACAGGCTTGATAATTAGCTAGGTGTTGGGGTGGAGGGAAGTGAGGGGCTCAAGGGTTACCAGTTTTAGCAAAATTCAGGATGATCAATTAAATTTGAATTTCAGATAATTTCCTAATATAAGCAAATATCATGAGACATACTTTTACTAAAAAAATCGGTGTTTATCAGAAATTCAAATTTAACTGGGCATCCTGTGTTTTATCTGGCTACCCTGCCAAAGATATCTCAGGGTTCTTGGTTGAGCAACTGAATAGATGGCAGTGCTATTTGCTGAAATGGAGGTGATTAGAGGAGGACCAATTTTTAGTGGAAAGATCATGAAGCAGATATTCAATGCTCTGAATTTTTGGTGCCTGGGAGACACCTAGGTGTAATGTAAATTATTTACTCAGCCTTTCTTTGGTCATAATTCATGGGCTAGTTAAGAACAGCTATAACAACATTTGGATTGGGAGTTGGGTAATGCCACAACAGAACGTTCTGTTTTTGATGTAATCAAAATATTATCTTTTAAAGAAAAGACTAGATAGAAAGTATATATAAAAACTTTGAATTTCTTTATTTCCAGGTTTTTATATTTCCCCAGGCAATGCTACTGGCTGCCTGCCATGTTCGTGCCATACAGCTGGAGCAGTTAGTCACATCTGTAATAGCCTAACTGGTCAGTGCATTTGCCAAGACGCTTCCCTTGCCGGGCAAAGTTGTGACCATTGTAAAGACCATTACTTTGGATTTGATCCTCAGACTGGAAGGTAAATACTTATAAGAATTAATCATTAAATAGTTTTATTTAATTTTATTTGCAATTACTTCTTTTCTACTAACAGTGATTTTTTTGGCAATATCTTTTGTAAAAAACAATATTGCCTGTTCTTCCTAGTTTGTTGATATATTTTTGACTCTTTGATATCTGCATTTATTAAACATAATGGTAATCTTTGAATATTTCCTACAGTTCCAATGTTTAGGTTGCTATATGTCGATAGATGTGCCCAGTATTAGAGTCTGGGAACACTTAACTAGATAAAATCTTTTTCCCTCAAAGAACTTATATTTTGGATGTGGGAAAAGACAGATAAAGAGATAACTGTAGAAGAAAACACACACACACACACACACACACACACACACACACAATATAAGGGGTAGGATAGTCGGCATAGGAACGTATAAACTTTGTTCTACATGGCCCTTGAATTTATTGCTTATTTATTTATTTATTAACTTACTGTCCTTTTATGTTGTCCTTGCCTTTCTGATTTGGGTTTAAAGACTGGCAGATGAGAAACATATCTTTGTATTTAGTGATTTTTTTTTCCCCAATGGGTAAAGTACATTCTGACAGTAAGTTAACCACTTTTCAAAGTTACGCTATCTTTAATGTGTGACTTCTCATTTCCCGTATATCTGTGGGCATTTACCTTCACATATTTGTGTTCATTGCTGTGTTGTGAAGAAATATTGGAATGCCAGATCCACGTGTGTTTTTTTGTCTGGTCAGGTTATACATTTGTCGAGTGTTGGGATTATGTCTATGAATTCTTTGGCCTCCCTCTCCCCAAGCAACTATTATTGCCTGCTGCACACACCAATCAAATCGGTTTCTCAGAGTATGTGTGTGTGTATATTTATAAATATATTTGCTAATTATTCAAAGGTTTGGGATTATCTGGGCTCTTTTCAATTTGTTGCCCCCTTGCTCCCTGCCTTTTGGCTCTTAACACTCTTCATTAACACCTCGATTAGAGTGTGGACAAGGTGATGGGGTATATTATTGAAAAAGAACTCAAACTAGTTCATTTGGCTTTCTACTAAAATTCAGTTGATTAAAAAAATTGTTAACATGACATTTAAAAGACTTATTAAAACAATGTTTCTTCTTATTACACATCTTTTTTTAAATCTGTGCTTCTGTTACCATTGCAATATCGTCTTGGTATTCTGAAAGCATTATCAGTCTTTTCTACAAATGCTGAATCTCTCTGAATGGGTATAGAAAGCACATGGTGCAGTAAATGGGAAATAAAAAGCGTTACCAGGATTTTGATAGTAAAACTGGAGTCGGTTATGGTGCATACTGCCTCCTCTACATACTTTTTGTTGAAAGACCATCTCACAAATTCCCCACTTGGAACTCTGGGATTGGTTTGTTTCACTCCTGGCCATCTCTGCCTTTTGATCTCCTATTTTTTCCATAGCCTTTCTGACAGCGCTTAATTGCCAAGAGAAAATATCTTCTCCGATCAACTGTCGTCCTTGGAACACTCATACCCACCTATGGCATTTGGTGCCAGTCTCTTACCATTTTCCCTCTACTGATCTCCCTTGTTATTTTTCCTTGTGTTGTCACCAAAACCCTTGTTTAATGACCAAGAGGTATCTAATAGTCTCAGCTTTTTCACTTATCTTTCTTTAAATGAAACCTGATTCCCTTCATTACACTACTTCTTCGACCCTTCAATGCTCCTAAATTCAGGCTAATCTTTACCCCATTCTGCTTCTCTCTCGTTTGTCTACTCTTGCCACTCCCCACCTCGTCTGGGGGCCAAGAATTGCTTATAGAACAGTGCTCTCTCAGCTGCCACTGTGCAGTCAGACTAGGAACACTGGAACTGGACTTTGCGGATTAGACATGGGGTTAAAAGGTTAACCTAAATTGGTGAGGAATATAACGAGTCAAAAATAAAAATGTAGGTATAAATTACATTATTAAAAGGTGCTGAGGTTAAAATCAAGAAGAACTCAGTAAAATGAAGGGATGCGTGCAGATTAGAGTCTAGGAGATAGAACCAAGCGTGAGAAGCTGGGTAGATTCTAAAACGTGAAAGATACAGAGTAAGTGTGAGTTCAAAGTAAAAAGACTCAAGTTTTATATAAATACAATTGTATATCTTTACATATTAGCTGACTCATAATTATAGTTAGTTAGGTAAAGAATCGCCTTTTCAAACTTACAAATTTTCCTTCAAAATGGTACCACTTTTCTTCCATCCTTACTGTTCTTGTCTTTGGACTTCCAAGTTTCCATTCATTGAGAACCTTATCAGAGGGATGGTATTTTTCCCCTCTCCTCTTCATTCACTTAATTTCCTTTCCAGCAACCCATTTCCGTGACCACAACCTGGATTTTGTGATCCCTTGGCCCTTCTCTACTTCTCAGATCTTCCTAATCCCAGAAATGGTGCTCTATGGACAAATCACATCTTGCCAATCCTCTCTTCTCCAACGTGATCTGCTCCTAACTTCCCTCAATCTTATTCCATTACCCTACCTAATCTTCTTTTGATCAGCCCCATTCCTAACTTTCTCACCTTCTACTCCTGGCCTGGGGCAAAACCACTTCAATTCTGACTCTGTCAGTAAACTGATTGCCATCAAGATCTCTCCCTTCTGCTATACCTTGGGTCATCTCCAGGGAACGTAGCCCTGCTCCCGCCCTGTAAGGACTTAAAGAAAGACCATGTACTGTGCTGACTTGAACTACCATGCTGTCTTTACTTCTCATCCCTGTATCTTCTCTCCCCTTTAAACTATTGCCAGTCTGTTCAATTTCCTGCCCTTGTCCTTGCAGCTAATCTGGCCCTCTGCTTCAAAGACAAAATAGAGAGAATCAGACATAAATATCCCCAGATCATTTTCTCTCTACCTCCAATTGTCACATATTCTTAATTTTTAATCTAGTCTTAGAAGAAAACAATGTGTAATTTTTTTCTAAAAATAGCCTATTGCCTGTTCTTGATGTGTCCCCTTCTGTTCTCCTCTTGCTCCTCCGTTCCCAACTTTTCTTCATCTCCTTCATCTTTCCTCTGAACTTTGCTCCATTAAATGTTCCCTTTATTTTATTTATTTGTTTATTTATTTTAAAGATTGGCACCTGAGCTAACATCTGTTGCCAATCTTCTTTTATTTTTTTTACTTCTTCTCCCCAAAGCCCCCCAGTACATAGTTGTATATTCTACTTGTGAGTGCCTCTGGTTGTGCTATGTGGGACGCTGCCTCAGCGTGACCTGATGAGTGGTGCCATGTCTATGCTCAAGATCTGAATTGGTGAAACTCTAGGCTGCTGAAGCAGAATGTGCAAACTTAATCACTTGGCCACAGGGCTGGCCCCCAAATCTTCCCTTATTTTAACTTAAATCCCTCTCCACTGGTTGCAACTATCTACATATATGCCCTTCATCACCATTCTAAAGCCCGTGTTTTGACTCTGCCCTGCCCTATGAACCCCGAAAGTTGCTGCCTAATCTTTCACTGTCATTCACTTACTAAGATTTGAAAAGACTAGGTTTTTCTTCTTCATTTTTTTGACTTCCCATTCATTCTTCAGCTGCCATATTTGGTACATACATCAACAGAACCAGCAAAATGTAGACAGCCAAGAATAAGTTCGATGACTCTTAAGACTCTCATCCAAATCAAAGAAAGGTATACAACCAGATAAAATATATAAAAATAGGTTAAAGAAAAGATAAATTTAGATAGGAGGGTTTCACTGGAAGGAGAAAGGAGAAGTCAGTGATGCCTTCCAGTACGAGGGTCTTATTAGATTCCTTGCAGGGTGACATGGATCTCCTGTAGTTGAGGAGGCCAGTGGATTGATGTCTCTCTTAGACCTGGCCAAGCTACGTGAGGAAAGACAATGTGTTTGGGTTTGGATAGGCAAGCTGAAAGAGAGTTCTCTGTATATCTTATACTCCCAGAGTTTGTCAGGACAAGGAAGAAAGTGTATTTCTATGACCAGATGAGGACCACAAAGAAGAGAGACAACATGAGGTCCTCTTAGCACCTGTACAAAGGGCCACCCAGAAAGCTAAAGAGGCCTGGTAGAGAAAAAAGTGAGCTTCCTGTGAGCTACAAAATTAGTAAGCAACCAACTGGAATAGAGATGCATCTAACTACAATAAAACTGTAGGTGAGAAATACCTAATGGAGAGAGAGAGAGATCAATGAAAACAACTCACAAAAGTACCACCTCCAGGGAAAAGTCAGCTTAGTACCTACACATGTGAGACCAGAGATATCAGCCTGCTTTGGATTTTGCCAGTCCAGTAAGTTCCTACCCCTCCTCCAGCCTGTGTGTGAGAGAGGAGAAAAACACAAAGAGAAGAGGCCAACCAAGCTGCCTTCTCTGGTTGTAGACCTCCTGCCTTCATCACGTCCTAGCTGGCAAAAAGGGGAGAAGTCTATCTTCAAAGTGTCTGTTCTTTAAATAAAGCTTGAAGTGTAGACTAATATAGTGGACTAGACATTCTAGTTTCTGAATCAAGCCTATGTTTTTTTCTTTCAGCTTTATTGAGGAATAAATGACAAAAATTGTATATATTAGAGGGGTACAACTTGATGTTTTGATATACATATATTGTGAAATGATCTCTACAATCAGGCTAATTAATATATCAATTACTTCCCATAGTTACTATTTTCTTTTTTTTTGATGTGGGGAGAATACCTCCCCCTGCCCCCAGCCCCTGGCAACCATTATTCTACTCTGTTTCTATGAGTTTGACATTTTCTTTTTTGTAAATTCCACATATAAGTGATACAATGCAGTACTTGTCTTTCTCTGTCTGGCTTATTTCACTTAGCATAATGTCCTCCAGGTTCATCCATTTTGTTGTAAATAGAAGGATTTCCTTCTTTCTCATGACAGAATAATATTCTATCGTATGTATATGTGTGTGTGTGGAGCTATATAGATATATATATAACCATATCTATATAGTTATATATCTATAGATATATAGATAGAGAT